GTAATGCTTCGAAAAGTGATATACAACAAGGATGAATTTATAGAAATGAAGAAAGAAGAGAGAAACAAAAAAAAAGGAAACGCCGAGATCAACATTTAAGCAATAAAATCAACAAAAAAAAAGCAAAAAAGAGGAAAGAAAAATAAGTCCGGAAGTCATCATGACTCCCTCCCCCCTCCCCTCAAAAAAAAAAAAAAAAAAAAAAAAAACGGAAAAAAACGCATGGCGTGTGCACCTGTAATACACCACATAGAATCACTATAAATATACTTAAGGGGTGCGGGAGTTTATAGTGCATGACCCCATTGCTCAGAATGCCCTAAATTGTAGAGATTGCATGGTGAGTCTTCATGCATCAGTGTTGGAGGTGCGTCACCCATTGATCGGGGGGGGAGGGGGAGGGGGAGGGGGGGAACTGGCATTACTCTGTAGTCTAAATTTGTTTTGATGGGTTATCATGAAGCAGATTTTGGGTGTTTGTTTGTATGTTCTCATAGTTGATTAATATTGTTTATTTATTTATTTTTTATCTTAAAGGAGGGAGAGGCGCATAGCTTAGGCCGAATATGATCTTCCCTTTTCCTATTTTGTGAAACGGGGTTAAGAGAAAGAGAAAAAAAAATCGATTTTATAGAATGATTTTGGCTAAGCAGACACTAAATTCATGATAACATATCTATTTAAATAACTTTATGTACTGTATACTGGCGTGCCGGATGTAAGTTTACAAGGGCTGTAACGAAATTACAGGTTTGAATTGAAGAAAAGTTAGTGGAGTCAGCCATTTTTAACTAAATTAACTGTAATATTCACATCTAAGCTGCGTTTTGAAGAATAACTAACAAATTTCAGTGTGGGAGAGAGAGTTAGAGTAAATATAAAATCATTTTCATTTGGGAGTGTTGCAACATCGAATTTATTTTTATCTCTGTGTCATCTTGGCATTTGTATCGTACAAGTGCACAAAACCATAACTATTTGCAAGGACCCTCATGTAGGATGACAAGAAAGCTGTTAATGCGGTAAATGAATGTTATCTTAACGTACTGTTTTCCTAAGTATATTTAAAGGGAAAATTAGGACCAACCGCACAGCTTGGTTTATGACGTCATTTATTACGTTTTATTCTGGTTGCTGATTGGTCCGTCGTCTGTGACGTCATGGCTGCAGCCGTCATCTGATAAATGTCCGTATCCTCTTTCTTGGCTTCATTTGATAACCGATACTAACTAACACTTTCCCAACCGAGTAAATAGCAACACATTCGACGATGACACATCAAAAGCAAAACTCCCCGCTGAGAGGGCTATGACACACGAGAATAAACGGGCAAATCTCCTCTTAATAGCCAGTGGAACGAACCCCCAAAGCATGAGGGGATTCGCACGCGGCCTTCTAGCGTAACTGAAAACACAGAAGAAGAGGCGAAGGTCATTCACGTCCTCTTGACCTGGGATTTTGTCGTAACTATGGTCCTTGGCGGTGAGTATTCCGTCCTGCTGGCGACGTGGAAGTGCGGAGAGTTCCCGGCGAGGTGGAGAGGCAAGGATAAGCCAAGCCAAGCTATGGATTTCGGGCGAGAGGAGGAGGCGAGCGGCGTTGCCTTCCAGTGTGTGAGGTGATCGCGTCTTCAGCTTCGGGAGAGAAAAGAATTTGCAACATTGCGGGGTCCCTTTTGCAACATTGGGGGCCCTTTTGCAACGTTGTGGGGTCCCTTTTGCAACATTGGGGGACCCTTTTGCAACATTGGGGGGTCCCTTTTGCAACACTGGCGGGGTCCCCTTTTTACAACACTGGCGGGGTCCCCTTTTACAACATTGGGGGTCCCTTTTGCAACATTGGTGGGGTCCTTTTTGCAACGGGAGTGTTTCGAGGGCTGTGGATGTAGTGCAAGCAGGGAAGCGGCGGCGATCATGCAAGCAGTATGGAAGCAGTGCCATGAGCCAAGGACGCCTTCGTGCAGAGCAGGATTTCCTTATCAGACGTGATTTACAAAACTTTTATTTTATTATTAGGCTTTAGCTCAGTGGCGGCGCTTGCAACTGAAGGCAGAGTATCACCAGGGGGTTTAGAATTCATCCTGTTGTTTGTTTTGTTCTGTTTGCCAAGATGATTAATTGCTTTGTTAATGCAATATTGCTGGAGTAAAAGTGGTCTTGTTTGAAATGTCAGGGTTTTTTTTAGTAATATTCTGATTATGAACCTAAAGTCTGGATAATTATATATATATATATATATATATATATATATATATATATATATATATATATACATATATATTTATATATATATTTATATATATATATATTTATATATATATTTATATATATATTTATATATTTATATATTATTTATTTATTTATTTATTTATGCAAATATGGATAGATTATCCATGTAAATGAATGCCCAAAAATTAAGAATTTTTGCATGTGTATGGAGAGTAGAAAATGATTAATCCCAAATAGTCTGCAATTTTTTTCTGCTGAGCAACTTCAGTGCAGTTAGTATTTACCAGTAAAGCAACAGCACATGCAGGAAAAAAGTTGAGGTAATGCTGTTGCTCAGGTGACAGAATTAATGAAAGCTGTTTGTTCATTAAAGTCATCGCCATGATATCCCTTGATTGGTGAGAATCAGGGATTAGGCAAAGGGGGTCGAAGGGAGCCGCTTCCCCTGATGAGAGAAAGTCAAAAGGGCTTTGCAATTATTCACTTAATGTTGCAGGGGAGTTGAGGGGACAGATCTGTTGATGAAGATTAGGGAAATCGAGAGGGTGCTCTCGCTTGCCACCGATAAGTCTTCCATTATTATTTTTTTTCCTTTTTTAAGAATTTTAGTAAGAATTTTTATTTGTTTTGTTTTGTTTACGGTTTGTTGTGTAACAATTGTTATATTTGTATTAGATTTAGGTTTGATGTTCTACTATGTTTTGGTTGTGCAGAAAAGTGTACATGTTAGAGAATGATAATATCTGGTAAACTGTTCAGATATAGGTATTGATTTTCAAAATGGAGTATTTTCTTGGGGGGTCCCCTTTTACACACTGGCGGGGGGTCCCCTTTTACACACTGGCGGGGGGTCCCCTTTTACACACTGGCGGGGGGTCCCCTTTTACACACTGGCGGGGGGTCCCCTTTTACACACTGGCGGGGGGTCCCCTTTTACACACTGGCGGGGGGTCCCCTTTTACAACATTGGGGGTCCCTTTGCAACATTGTGGGCGTCCGTTTGCAAAACGGGAGTGTTTCGCAGGGTGGGATGTAGTTACACAGCAGGGACGCGGCGGCGTCATGCAAGCAGTATGGAAGCAGTGCCATGAGCCAAGGACGCCTTCGTGCAGAGCAGGATTTCCTTATCAGACGTGATTTACAAAACTTTTATTTTATTATTAGGCTTTAGCTCAGTGGCGGCGCTTGCAACTGAAGGCAGAGTATCACCAGGGGGTTTAGAATTCATCCTGTTGTTTGTTTTGTTCTGTTTGCCAAGATGATTAATTGCTTTGTTAATGCAATATTGCTGGAGTAAAAGTGGTCTTGTTTGAAATGTCAGGTTTTTTTTTAGTAATATTCTGATTTTGAACCTAAAGTCTGGATAATTATATATATATATATATATATATACACAGGGCATCTAGTAAAAAAAAAAAAAAAAAAAAAGAGAAGGAAAAAAGGACAGCCTGAACTGTGGCTTGTACTCTGACCACATGCCGTTTGGACCAAGAACCCGAAGAACCTAGCACACTAACACGTTTTCTGTCGACAGCACTTAATATAGCTTTAATTCATATGATCTAAATAGAGGAAGAGAAAGCTGAATCTCCCTATGTCTCTTGGAAAGTGAATGGATTTAGTGTTTCAGTGGTGATAATTCTGCATAACCCAGGTCTCTACATTAATGTATTTGTGTAAATGTATACAGTTGAGGTAATGCTTGAAAGAGCACATAATCACAATAATTTATAGTATCCAGAAGCCCTACAGTAAAAGAAGCCCCAGTAATCCCAAGTCTTGTTTATATTCTGTAAAAGTTATTATAGTAAAGTAGTTCTGTCAGGTAAACAGGTATAAATAATGACATGCCTTATTACCGTTTTTGATACATATAGGACAAGACAAACTGCATGGAATTAGTAGACCAAAAATTGGCAAGAAACTCTTCTCCGACGACATACGGTAGCCGCCACAAAGTGAAAATAAAAGTTCTGTAATTTTATGAAGTACAGAGTTAAGAATAGGACCTAGCTCTATGTTGTCAGTGACATTTTCATATGGCCTGACAGTTTCTTGTCAAACGAGGAATGAATCCAAACTCTGTCCTGGTAACTTAACTTTTGGTAAACTGCAGCTGTAATTTTACCATTAATCCGTTGTTGAGATGGCATGTACAAATGTGCCATTTCTACTGCAATTTTAGTTTATTATTTTTGTGTATATAGACATGGCTTCACAAGTGATTAGTCAGCAGAGAGTTAATTACTAGTCCTGCCAATTTCACCCTTTTCCTTGATTTTTGGAAAGACTTTTATTTTACGATTGCTGATAAGTATTAATAACATTATGATAATCATAATATCAATAATTTTAATTACAATATCCGTAATAATAGCATTAGAACAAAAAGTCCTGAAAATTCAGGGAATGGGAAAATCAGTTATGTGCACATAGGTCCTCTTAATTGACTCCTTGGTGACTTAGCTTATGGAGCCATATGTGTGCAAACAAAGTTCACAAAACAAAGCAGCAGTGGACAGAACATGTACCAGGCACTGAGGGTTAATATGATGAGTTCTGGGAAGTGCTATCTCTTTACTTTAGTAACATATTGTTGCTCGATCTATGGTCTACATCTATAGACTTAATCTAAACTATGGGTCTTTGCAAAGAGATTAACTTTATTACTGTACAGAGCCCTGTCATTTTAAAGAACTTTTTTTTTCACATTGAAGTAATTTCAGTATTTTTGGGAATACTTAATCTTGATTCCTTTTCTTTTGTCCACAGTTGTTTACTATGTCGGAGCAAGAGACCAGTAGAAGCCCAGAGAACGGAAGAGCGGACGTGGATGACCTCTCTGAGGCGAGGGAAGACTCCTCGTGTGAAGTGGAGAAGCCATGCTGTTCGGACGTAAATAGTTGCCTTAGCTGTGACAGTGGTATGGGAAACACCGTCTTCTCCTCTCCAGAGAAAGGTGAAAAGGAGAACAGCGAACACTCGGATGACAAGGACAGTGACAGTAGCGACCAGAATGAAACGCTCACTAGAGAGAATGACCCCAGTAAGACGGCTTTCGTAAAGAGCCAGGCTGGTGCTTCAGACCCTATGTGCAGCCCTCAAGATGAGGCAAAGGACAAGATAGTAGACAATCACGTTGACAGTGCATTTTGTGTGAATGGTAGTGTAAGTCTGCCAAAAGAAGATGAACAGCTGATTGTACAAGAGAATCAGGGGAAGGAGGAGGGGAAAAATAATCTTAGTGATTTAGGTACAAACAAAGTAAATCATGCTAGTGAGGTACTATGCAAAGAGGACAAGGACAACAGCAAAGAAATTGCCAAGGAAGAAGACGCCAGTGAGAGAGGAGATGCACATGGCAGTGTTGACTTAAAGGTGAATGAGGATGTAGGACCCAGTGAGAATAGTGTGAATGTGACCGTTATTCTTCAGGATAAGGCTGCAGATAGCAAGAGCGATGCAAAAGAGAATGTTGCAAGTGAGATTGAGGTCAGTGTAAGTGATAGTGACAATGTCAAATTAAAAGAAGTGCCACTCATTGTGAAAGGTAATGAAGAAAATACAATGCACGTCTGTCAGAGCGATTTTGACGGGCCAAAGGAACTAGTCGGCGAGGGCATGGCTGTGGATCTGGACATCAACAGAGACACGGACTCGGAGGCGGGGGAGTCCTGTTACAGCGAAGACCAGGAGCAAGTGGATGGCTGTCAGGGGGGGAACGACTGCCTGCACCAAGACGGGGTGTGTCACACTCAGCAGAATTGGGATTATCTCATGGACGAAGAGTTCAACGTCCCCAGAAATCCAGTATTCAATGGTTCTGCAGATCAGCTGTGCAGAAGAAGTAACTTGAAGAGGAAGGCCAGTGAGGAACCTGAAGGTAAAGTAATCCTTATTGAAAGTTTTTTGTTTGATGATTAATCAGTTATACTTCTAATAACATCTGGATTGCATAGCATTTTTTTTGTTTTCAGTATTGTGCAAGTTAGCAGATTCTGAATAGTGCATTGTAGGAACATTTTAGAGTAGGCGTTTTGGTTTTTGTTTTTCATCATTAGTTTACTCAGGATTCTGGAGAAGATGAAAGAGTATGATAAACTTACTATATTTCTGGTCTTGAGATTGTTCTTTAGTATATTTTAACAATGGGAGCTCAAAAAAAAACCATTTTGCAGCACCTTCAAACATTCTGAATAATTTGTGAAACAGCTGGGTAGTATTTTCAGTTTTTACTGTAAACATTTCAGTCGTATGAGGTAAATGTGTTGGAACTGGGTCAAGTGAGAAGGTGAGAGTGAGAGTGAGAGTGAGAGTGAGTGTGAGAGTGAGTGTGAGAGTGAGTGTGAGAGTGAGTGTGAGAGTGAGTGTGAGAGTGAGTGTGAGAGTGAGTGTGAGTGTGAGTGTGAGTGTGAGTGTGAGTGTGAGTGTGAGTGTGAGTGTGAGTGTGAGTGTGAGTGTGAGAGTGAGAGTGAGTGTGAGAGTGAGTGTGAGTGTGAGTGTGAGTGTGAGTGTGAGAGTGAGAGTGAGTGTGAGTGTGAGTGTGAGAGTGAGAGTGAGAGTGAGAGTGAGAGTGAGAGTGAGAGTGTGAGAGTGAGAGTGAGAGTGAGAGTGAGAGTGAGAGTGAGAGTGTGAGAGTGAGAGTGAGAGTGAGAGTGAGAGTGAGAGTGAGAGTGAGAGTGAGAGTGAGAGTGAGAGCGAGAGCGAGAGCGAGAGCGAGAGCATGAGTGAATGAGTGAATGAGTGAATGAGTGAATGAGTGAATGAGTGAGTGAGTGAGTGAGTGAGTTTAAACAGATGTTATGGTGCCATTATTTGAAGTTTTTGATATGCAAGGAATCAAAATGAATATATGTAGTTATTGTAATTTTCTTGAAGTGACACATTTCTCAAGAGTCCTCTATACAGTTCTGTTTCATTACCATTGTTTCCCATGAAGACAGAGAATGCTTAATGAATTTATGAAAAAAAGTATCAATTGTAATTTGCAATTTTGGAGACATTTTATTTTTGTGTTGTTCACTAGATTGTTATTACCTATCTGAATGGATAAAGACTTGCATTGGGAAGTTAATTGACTAAGTGGGAGATTTGCTTCACTCTTTCTTTTATGTTTTAGAATTAAGTTACTTGATATTCTCTCTCTAGTATTATTTATTTTTATTTTTGTAACTTTACGTAACAGTTTGTTATTGATGTATGCTAGGTTTGTATTAGACTTCATTTTGATAGGTAACTATTCAACTCGAGAAGCATCATTACAATAAAACAAAAGTAAATGGTGTTTTTACCTCAGGGAAATATTTGTTAATGATGAAAAAAGGCAAGGAAAGTATGTAGGGCTTCTTATCATTTATTAACATTAGCCATATGGGTGACAATGAGTATAAAAGTGATGACAGGTGGACGTATGTATAGTGTTGTGGGACCTGTCCACTTAAGGGTTAAAATTGAAGTAGCCAGAACTGGTGACTTGTGATGCCAGAAGGTATGTGGATAGAGGAATGTATTTTCCTTATTTTTTAAAAATCCATGTAGTAAAAAATTGTGTTATGAAGAGTGATAGGAATTGTTTGCAGCTGCTTCTACTGTACAAAGTAGTATTTGAATTTGATTGATGGAAGGAAGGAAAGAGTCATGGGAAAGGAAACTGCACAAAGGAATGATGGAAGTAAATTGATAGAATATAGGAAGGAAATAGGAAGATTTGTAAAAGAAAAAAAAAAGGATAGTAAGAAAGGAAATACACTGATACAAAAGCAGGTAATAACAGTAAGAGAAACACATTGAGGAGAGAGAAAGAGAGAAAAGATGGGAGGATGATAGATATAACTGTAAAAGTGGACAATTAGTGTTCAGTTGAAAGAAGAGAAAAGCAAAGATGTAGATATACAGATTTTTTCTTTATTTTGTATGTCGAGTTCATTTCACAACCATTTTGATTATTTGATTTAATTTAATAGTTGTTGTGTGTTGGTACTTGGATTTAGATTATTATACGTAGACTAGCAGTTTTTTTTTTTTTTTTAGATATACTGTAAACATATTTCTATTGAAAATTATCTTCCTCACCCCATGTGAATTACATGTAATGCGTACATTATACAAATATTGCGAAAGTACAGGACATATATGATATCCCACATCAGTGTTTTCCTCCTAACTTTATAAAGTTTTTGGGCAAGTAAAGTGTTAGATAATGTAGTTTTGATTGTAGTGATGCGAACTTCATAGCAGTGCAGTTGCGAATATGCAGCACTAATTGCATTGTTTCTAGTTTTAAAGGTTATGGTTGTGTGAATGGTATCATTTGTACTATCCTTCTGTACATAGGTTGTGACTGTGCACAGTGATTTGCACAACTCGTACACCAGGAAAAAAAACTTATGTAGAAAGTGTTAGCAGTCTTTTTGTTCTTGTACTGTTGATCAAATAGGAACAGTTTTGCTATGTTTTGGAGCTATGGGACACTTCACCATAAAAAAAAGGAATCATGGGAAATGACAGAACTTTTCATAATATAAGGATTGGTAGTGTTTTTTTTGACTTGTTAGCCTGTGTAAACCTATTATTTTTTCATTTGGTGGTCCACATTAGAATATTGTTGGCAATAAGAATTGGAGAACATGAGAGGTTTCATAAGAATGTGGATAACATTTTAACCATTGGGTATGTTTCTTTACAAGGGGTTGACAGATTCTTGTTTATGGTAGAGAATGTATTCTGTTTTTTGCAGACTCTTTTCAATGAAGATTGCTATCAGCAGAATTATTTTAGTTACCCCTCTTATTTGAAAGGCTAATGCATTCTCTGGAACCTTAGCATTGAGAGGGGGAACAAATATATACAGCATCAAACATAATTCAAGTTCTGAAAATAGCCTGGATCTGGGAAGGGGACAGGGTACATATATAGGCCTTTGTATATTTATGATTGTTTGATATTAGAGTGTTGTTAATGTGAATCACTCTTCATTCCAGATGTCTCTCCTCCAAAGTGCAAGCGGGGCATACAGTTTGAAGGTGTGACGGTGTTCTATTTCCCTCGGTCCCAAGGCTTTACCTGCGTCCCATCGCAAGGAGGGTCTACACTAGGGATGTCACGTCGGCACTCTCACATAAGGCAGTTTACCCTCGCTGAACATGCCGTTGAACAGAGGCGGGCGCATCGGGAATATCTTCTGAGGTTACGGCAGCAGCGATCAGCAAGGGTCAGTGACTAGGGAGTAGTATTTCTCAAGTAAAATTAGATATTAAATAACACTTTTTTTTTTTTTTTTGTATGGAGGAAGCTAATACAGTTGGTGTTAAAGAAATTGACACAGAGAACCACAAATTTAATCTTGTTTTGTTGTGTGTCATGCTGTACCATTTTTACAACTGTTTTGATCTTAAGACTTGGCACTTGGAGAATAGTGATATAAAATTAGTAATTCAAGAAATACGTTATATTTACAATTACCTTCAATTGCACGTCATTAATTCTTAAAGTAAACATGGTACATATTAGTCATGATTTTTATTGAGGAAAATCTTTGGTTATGCTATGTTAATATCTTTCTCTTGGTATTTGCAGAGAACGTTAGTTGTGACCTAAATTGCTGTCACTGTATATTCTACAAAATTGTACTAAAAGAAAAATATACAAATATTAAATACCAACAGAAATACGAAAACTTGTTGAATATAATATGATGATGCTTATAGACATTTGACATTTTTTTCCCATTTTGAATTGGTGGTGACAGAGATCAGTAGTCTATAACACTTGCATATTTTTATCAATGGCAGATACAAATTATAATTTCATATTTTTATACAATATGCTTGGGATATCTGTAACTGTTAGTTATTCTCATGGAGTATTGGTTAAGAAAATTAACTCACCTAGATTATATGAAATACTAGGGATTTTAAAGGTGTGATAGCATTGGATTTCAGAAAGAATTGAGATGTAGCTTTTTGAGTTTAAGATACAGTTATTGAAAGTGCAAAACTGTTTGTCAAAATTTCTCAATACAATTTTTTTTTTGAGCAATCATTACATGTACTGTCTGCCGTAGTTTTTGTTTGTGTTTTGTTTACACATAGATGGCTTCACAAAAGCTTAAGTCACCAAAGAATAATGTTAAGCCAACTTGATCTCACTTCGATCCTTTCTTGAATGCTTAGGAAAAAGGTTTTAATTTCTAAAACTATTATTATCCTTAGTCACTTTATTGTTAATATTGGTGTCATTTTTTTACGTAACATAATTAATCCAGTGCTGGCCAGGGGTGGTATGTCCGTCCATGCCTTGCCCACAGGGACTTTAGTTCATTAACTGTTTACACACGGATGGCTCTACAGAAGCTTAGTCACCAAGGAGTTGGTTACTAATCCTACCTATCTCTCTATCTTACCTTTTTTCTTGATTTTTGGGGATATTATATTTTATTTCATGTGGCTGTTAGTATTATTGATAGCACTGTAATGGTTATGATGTCAGTAATAGTAATAACTACGTCGATGTTAATAGGACTAGGAAAAGAAAAAAAGAAGAAGAAAAAAATCCCGGAAATTCAAGAAAGGGGGAAATCAGGTTAGGTCTCACAGACTAATGGTTGCTGAGCACTTGTGGAGCCATCTGTGTCTCGATGCATTTCACAGAACAATACTACTATCACATTTCCCTGGTGGCATTGGCTTAACAAATATGATTGTGATAAAACTTCTTTCTGAATATTTAAGAAATAAGGGAAACAGATGAGATCAGGTAGCTTAGTATGTCATGTTACAGAAATATAGATACAGACAGATGTGATTTCTATTACAGAAGACTAACAGTGCTGATAACATAGTGTAGGGAGTAGATTGGGTGGGAAATAAATTTTGTTTATATGCAATAGATAAAATCTGAAATCCTTTTACAGTCATGCAAAGGGAAGAGAATTAATGCGATAATCTATAGGGTTTAACCCCTTGCCGCCGGGTGACGGCGATACGCGTGTAAACAAATCGCTCGAAAGGTGGCGTGCGGCCAAACCAGCCGGCGGCGCGCCAAAGCGCGGCGAGCCAGTGATTCGGGCTGACGCCCCGTACTCCTGCGCTCAAAGTCGGCGCGCTGCCTTTGTTTGCCAGAGCGTAGAGTTTTATTTTCCTTTAGTACACCCGGCGTCATTGGGTTAATTAGGAAGCGTTTCTCAAATGATGTCATGAATGAATCATAGAAGTTGTTCATTAGTTTGTACTAATGCAGCATACCTGTTATGAAAACAGAATTGAACAGTCGTTATTAACTATACAATAACAGGAGCGTGGAGACAGCAGCAGCCGGGGCAGCAGTTCAGAAGACAGCGAAGAAAATAGTGAGGAGGCCAGTGATCTTTCAGACTCAGAACTGGATGCTGATTCTTACTATTTCCTTCAGGTATGGAGCTTGCAGATGAAAGTGTGGCAGGTTTAATCTGCTGATCATTTGGGATTTGTGTAAAAAAGCAATTCACCTTTGGCTGTTTGGGAGGCTTTTGAAAATTGTGTTTCATTTTGAATAAGAGGAGAGTACCTGACGAGCGTTCAGGTATAATGCTATGTCTGTAATTCAGTTTTGTTTTGTTTATTGATTAATTTAGTTTTTACTTATTTACTTTGGAGAGGTGGTTGATAAATATATGTATGTAAAAATCTGTCTTTGACAAGCTTTGTTAGGTGCTGTTGAAATATTCAAATTACTTATGATTAATTCTTTTGTCATAATTGTTCTTTTCATGTTTAGCAGTGATATAGGCACTCTTGCAATTTCTAATATCTAGTTATTCAAATTCATGTACTTATTTCTGTCTTCTCTCTGTCCTTCCTGACATAACTTTTCTTTTTTTTTTCCTCCTCTCCCTCTCCCTCTCCCTCTCCCTCTCCCTCTCCCTCTCCCTCTCCCTCTCCCTCTCCCTCTCCCTCTCCCTCTCCCTCTCCTTCTCCTTCTCCCTCTCCCTCTCCCTCTCCCTCTCCCTCTCCCTCTCCTCTTTTCCCTCTCCTCTTTTCCCTCTTCCTCTTCCTCTTCCTCTTCCTCTTCCTCTTCCTCTTCCTCTTCCTCTTCCTCTTCCTCTTCCTCTTCCTCTTCCTCCTCCTCCTCCTCCTCCTCCTCCTCCTCCTCCTCCTCCTCCTCCTCCTCCTCCTCCTCCTCCTCTGCCTTTTCCCCTTCCCCTTCCCCTTCCCCTTCCCCTTCCCCTTCCCCTTCCCCTTCCCCTTCCCCTTCCCCTTCCCCTTCCCCTTCCCCTTCCCCTTCCTCTTCCCCTTC